TATATTCCACGTGGCTATTTTGAGGTTTAGTTTTGTGTTTTTATTTATTTCTCTAACATTATTTGTTCCCTTCTTAACCGTATTCATAACCTTTTTCGGTGCCATTTTCATCATCGTGTGATTTCTGTTCCCATGTTTTATTAGTTTTTTGACACCATTTTTTCTAGCTGGCAGTTGATTTTGTTCCACTTCCAAGTATCTTCGTTTATTGTCAGTTTGTTGTATCCAATTTTTACGGCTTTTCCTTTTCCTTTTTCTTCCTTTGCCCTTAGTCGAATCTGTCTGTTCTTTATTCTTTCGTCTTTCTTTTGAAGTTTGGTCGTCGCTAATATATATATTCTTTTTTCTTTAACGTACTGGTTATCGATGACTACTGTTTTGTCCTACTCTTCTTCCATTTGTCTTAAACATATTTTTTCATTCACTTGGTAGGCATTTTTGATGTTTACCTTTACTTCTAGATTTTGCTCGAGGATTTTTGTTAGTGTTTCTTTTAGCAGTTTTCATTCACTTTTTTCGAGCAATAGGCTTGTTATTATTATGTTGTTTTTCCTTTTCTCTTTTTCTACCCATACGATCTTGCTTTTACTGTTCGTTAGCTTCTGCTTAATTTCCGCATTTTCTCTTTTTATTTCTTCATTTTGTTTCTTTAAGGTTTTGTTTTCAATTCTGATGTTTTTTATTTCTTCATCAGCTTCATCTTGTTTGTTTTTTTATTTCCTGTCGGTCTGTATGTATACCTGTTACCAGTTATCATCTCTAGTATTAAATCTAGTTTACCCTCTTCTAATTTATTCGTTTTTAAAGGTGTTTTACTATCTCCTTTCTTGTCTGTTTTTGTGGGAGTTCGTTGTATTTTGGAATTTCTTTCAAGTGTTTGTCCTAGTTGGTTTCCACGGTTTTTTTTTAGACTGATCGTCTGAGTATTCCGAGAAATCGTCGCTCTCCATTCTTGGCTTGTTTTTGTGCACTTCTTATCACTGACTCGATATAGCGGTTCGCCGTTTTGCACTATGTTGGTAAATTCGTTCCAGAATTCATCCCAAGCCGCTTGAATCGAATATTCCCACACAGCGTTTACCCTCTCCCCATTTCGAAAATATGTTTCAATCATAAACGCGTTCTGCTCCAATGGAAATGCCATTTTTGAGTGAATACGTGAATACGCAAATGCACCATATTTGGAAAGAACTAATTTTAATGTAAAAATTATTTCTCCAGGAAGCACTAACAATTAGCATGTAACATGTACCCTTTAAATAAAAACCGTTTGTTCTCTTTCTGTAGTAACTCGAAAAGAGTTACAAGTGTTTTACAAATTATTCTTGAAAAATCCGATTTGTTGTAAAAGTTGATCAGCTACTTTGCTCACTGGTTCATGGTACTAATTTAAACACTATTTGAGTTTATGTATTTATTTCAAACTTTGGGTTATTGATTTTCCTACAGATTTTTTATTTGCGATTGTCTAATCTGTCGTACGTATTAAGTATTATTTACGAATCAATGTATAAATAATCTGCATGACTTTTACCATCTCAAGAAAAATGACGCAATTTAATTGAAATTTACTTATAGATGTTAATATTGTTTAAACGATTTATGACAAAACAATTTGCGCGTTACTATTTCGCACTTTCAAGTTTATAATAAGTATTTGTCAATTCAGAGTACATAAAGTAGTCAGTTTCTTGTTATGAATATCAAACGTTTTTCAACACCAAGCCCTTATCTGTAGATGCATATATTTAATGAATAAATATAAAGGTAAATATTTTCTTAAATAATAATTGTTTCCGATATTGTTTAGTCTTATCAGTTAAATAGTTTACGTTTTTTACATTCTAGTCAGAAAAATTTTACGTATCTTAGCTGGTTCTGTTAAAATAGCTTATCTATAGGTCATTGCCTTTAAAATTGGTTCAAAAAAAGTTTTACGCAGTTGTATTGCAATAATTGACGCCTTTATATCCGAATTTAGAATGTTGGTTTTAAATTTTTTGTTGAAATTGATAGTATTTCAAAGATACTGTGAGGTGCATGAAAAACATTTGGCGACGATAAAATATGCAAATACTGTGATTTAAATGTAATGAAGAAGTTGGAGAAGAAAGTAAAACTCCTGTTAGAAAACTGACTTAATTATGAAAACAAGTCCTAACGGGGCTGAAAACACTAGTAAAATTCTTTAATAGAACTAGTGCAGCAGCAAAAATTCGTTTAATGTATTGTATAACAACCAGTAGAATAAACAATTGCAATAGAAACTATCATGATAGTGTCTGCTCTAGTTGGCCATGGCGCGTAGTCAGCAGTGAAGTTCAAATGGTTGACGTAAGCGTCATGGCCGCCTAGAGCAGAAATAAAGAAAATCGCTCGATATTTTGTAGAATTTTATTTGTTTACAAAAAATGCATTTTCAAAACCAGAAAAAAATAGACAAAATTTACCAGATGAGTTATCTAAGACTTTCTTCAATACCATCTATCTAAACATAAAACTTTACAACTACATTTTTTTATCAGATTTCCACTTTTTCAAATAACATTTTTCACCAGGTCAATATATGTATACTAAAACAAATGTTTATTTACCATTTCCATTAAATCATATTTAATAAAATTATGCTGACACCTACAGTCAAGCACCTTGTGAAAATGGGTACAGAAAATTAAAACCTGATGCATTTTTGGCTGTATTCTACTTGTCTGTAAAATCGATTTGTACTTGCTTTATCAAATGCAATAAAAATGCAGGATGTATTAGTACCCTACTTAAGGCTAGTCTCTACATGCATTAGCCGCATGGGATTCGCAATACATTTTGAAATTATTGGGTTTTCTAATATGTACGACGCAGTGACTTTTCATCGGTGACGGTGGCGCTCGAATGAAGAAAACCCTGGAAATGGCCCACGGGAAGTTGCAAGAATTATCTCGATGGTGGACTCCAGAACAACCTCGAAAGCGGCGTTAGCGATCTTTCCAGAAGAAGTTATTTAATTAAGGACCACCGTTCTGGATAAGGTTAGTCTAGTCTACTCCAGCCAGTCGATGAATGACTTAAGTTGAGTCGAAATTATTCGCTGTTTAGTTAGTTGTATAAATTGGTATTGCTGAGACATAAATTATTTTAGCCACGGCGATTTTGAATACCAGAAAACCGTAACAAATCTTATGAAATTTTAAATATAACCTGTTCACAGTTTTCTCTACATAACGCAAGAGCAGTTTTTAAAAATTAGTTAATTATTATATTCTTGATAGCATTTAGGTGAAGTTTTTCATCGTGTATCTTTAAAATTAATATCTCAATTATCTATGGAAATGTATGAACGCGGTTTTCATCACTGTTTTCAAGTTATAAAACTCCATTAGTTGCTAGGAAATATTGTTCAATTTTTTTTTATCAGAAATGAGATGCAGTAAAAACAATCTTGTGTCGAAGAAACTACTTTTACCGAATCTCGTTTCCGACAAAAAAATTGCAAATTTCCTTAAAACCAATTCTAAGAATCTGTTAGTACTACGCATTGTTGCATGGAATATTCCCAGTAAATAATTATAATTTAACAATTATTTAAATTTACTAATCATATCTAAGAAAAAGATATGTGTAATGTACGACGTTCACATATTGACCTACATTAAAAATGGGTATTAAAAATAAAATTCACGTAGAAATAAAATAACATATAAATACAAGCAAATGACAATATTAACAAATCATTTTATCTAATGATATTGATAACAATACAAGTAAATCTTGGTACTGTATTGTATATACGTACAAGCATGATGATGCCATTAGTTATAATAAAAGTTATTCCTATTTGTTAATACGAGTACATACCTAACTAATAAATCATACTCCTATTTTTTTATGGATTTATTGAAATTGTAAAATTAATTGTAAGTTTCAGAAGCATTAATGGCTGATTATGAACACAATCATGGTACAATTTGTTATTAATTTTTTTCCAAATAAAACTGGATGGGCTGAAAATATTTTAATTTTTTATATCTTTCTTTAAGTTCTAAAAATAGATACTTACTGCAAAACATATTTTTGTGCAAAAATGTTATTTTTAAGTTCTAAAAATATATACTTTACTGAAAAACATATTTTCGCACAAAAATGTTGATAACTCTTAAAGAATTGAACCAAAAAATTACTTCGTACATCGTACATACGTATCAAATGGCTGACTGTACAATTGTACATACTTCCGCATAAAATTAATAACCATACATGTAAGTGTCAGTCTAATAAACTAAGTATGGAATTTTATCAGCTACTGTTTCATAAGTGTGAAATCATAATAATTATCGATGATTATCTTTAATTACACGTCTCGTAATATTTTAATTTAATTGAACTAAAATGACCTCATGATTATGAGAGTTTTTAAATTCATCAAATTAACGCAATTTGTTATTACATACTGCATTTTACGTCATTTTTGTACTATACTATACGACAGCAATTTTGCTAAATACTGATAAGACGTTAAAAATAATTATTCTAAATTATATACACTGACATTTTACAACCATCTTATAATTTTCAGATAACTTCTCACATTATCTCAAATGTTCATATGTTTACAACAAATATTAGTTTTTATCAAAACTATACATAAGTTTTATGGTAGTATATTAATTATGTATTTAAATTCAAACTGTAATTATTGAACGAAAAATATTCGTTTTATCGGAAAGTGATAATAATTATGTGTTTTGTCTTTGACTCATACTGATAACAACTCAAAAGGACACCCAAAGTTAAGGTTCAAAATTTTTATGATCAGTAATTTGGTGTTAAACATTTATAATTATGTGCTTACAAATTATAAAATTAATCATAGTGCAAAATATAAACTTCAATATCATAAAATTGACGACGAGACATTGGGGAATAATACTTCCTGGGTAACATAAAACTTAATCCTGTAAATAAATGATCAAATTCTGCTCAAGGATAATAAAACAAATTTCAAAAATGTTTTAAAATTTAATACAAACTTTGTACAATCCAACATTTTTACAATAGTCGTATACTTTTAAAGTAAAAAATTGTTATTTCTAAATGGCGATTTAGAAACAAATTGCCAATAGATCGAATATAAACTTATTATTATAAATTCCTGTTTGTTAAAACTACAACAGACGCCTACGCGTCAGGCAACCAGACTTTCAAGGGTAATTTGAGCAATGCGCTATTCAAAAATGCTTTGAAGTGCTTGGCTATAGCTGCATTAGCTGCAGGCTTCATTTCAGCAATGATTTCATTGGCATTAGAGTTTAAAAACTGATTCATGGCTTCACCTACAAAAGAAAAATGTCCATTCCATAGGTAGACAGAAATCAGCGACAACTTACCTATGATATTGCCATGATTTATAACATCACGCACTCTAAATCTACTCTTTTGTAGCTTAAAATCGATAAACAATTTTTCTATCCTCATGTAACGAGTGTTTGATTTGTCTTTGAATTCTTTCCCATATATTTTGGCAGCTGCATCCACGTCGACTAAAATTTTAAACTATTAGTAAAAATGGCAAATAAACATTAGCAATTAAACTTTTAGATAGTTTCTGTTTTCATTATGTCTTTTATAAGACTTTTACTTTGGAGTTTAACCCAGAGAAATAACTTATTGTAAAATTAAAGGGACCACTGCGTTGCAAAATTGTTTCAGATGAAGGTCTTCGGCTACGAGAAATGATTAGGAAAACTGTTTGCTGTATGTACCTCAAATTATTTCATCTGCACTTAAAAAACCAAACAGGAATGTAATGTTGAATTGGGTAATAATTTTAGCGACAAATAATTTCTAATTTCCTAATTGTTCAAACATTCAAATTAAATACTTAAGGTATGTCAAGTTCTGAACCGAATTTTTATTAGCTTGATTTTTGAGGTGAGTTGCGTCAGACCAAGACAAAAATGCTTACCAAAAATAGCCCAAAAGTCTCCTTTCGACCTCACGGGGAACAAAAGAACGTTCCCACTTACTTCATACTTTCCTTTAATTTCAACTCTAGGCAGTTTGAATCCCAATTCAATGTTGTAGTTGACAATGTCCGCTCTGAAACAGGATAGTTTCAAAATTGTGTGTCATAACTCAAAATAATAATGACCATCATTTACTATGTTATGATAATGTTACGTGAGGTGTTTAGCATGTACTTTATTGTATTAGAATTCGCGTGAAGTACGGAGCGTGTAGTAAAATATCGAAACTGTCTCTGTAATCAAATTAGTATTCAATAGCAAATGATGTCCTTGACATGCAAACACAATCGATTGCTTCATTTATCCAGTGAATCAAAATGTGGAAATACAGCGTTTTTATTGCAAACTCATTTTATTTGTCATCGGTAGAGGATTTGGTAGTTGAACCCGAAAGTTATCCAAACAAATCTATCATTTCGTCACTTTCAAATAAATAGTTTGAATGTTATGTCTCACTTTATTTTGTTTATTGTGTAGTTGCTGCCACCAGCAGCCGTGACATTGTGGAACAAAGCGCGGATCCGGAAAGCTCCTTGACCATTTTCCATTACAAGCCGGTCTATTTTTAATGGGTCTATGCTGGGCACGTTGATGTCCTGTATTCCATTTAATAAATAAGGCCTTAGATGATTAAAAGTGTGCTCTAGACATTTGTTGATTTCTGGATCTGACTTGTAACAGGGAATGATGTATTCAGCTGGAAATTAAAGAGAATAAATAAGATGGTTGCACAAAAAATACGAAACAAACGTCTAATATTACCTATGGTATTAAACATGAAAAAGTTATATTGGATAATGATATTTTTAAATATGGCGAAACATATGATTTTTTTTTTATTCTCAAGTATTTTATTTCTAAATGTTGAATCGTGATGTGCTCATGTGGCTCAAGATGTAATAAATTAATGGCATAAAGTTTTTTGAGTAAAATTTTCTTCGGCTTTGAGTTTTCAAAATTCGATATGTGTAGGTTTCGTTAAAAAAATTATTTAATATTGATGAAAAAAGAATTAAATTAAAATCTTACGACGAAAAAAAAATGAAATAAGTATGTACTGCTTTGTGCCAATAAAAACTTTTGGACTATCCAAATATATATCATCCTTCTCTATAATTTTTTTTCATTCACGGTCATGAAAAATTAACCATATTTTTCTAGAGAATGATCAGTAAATGAGCGTACGTTAAAAACGACGTGTTCTAGTTTATTTCAGAAATTCACAAACATAATATATCTCGATGTTATGCCGGATCTTACTTGTCATCCTTGTCTTGGATGACTAATCATTTAAGACCAGAAATAATTTATGAAAATTACAAATTTTTACAATGTCGTTTGTTTTCTTTGTACGAACAGGATATAAGGTTAATTCGCAATTCCTTTGTGCCTTAACCGAAACGTCGTTTTGAATGTATGGTTTGGTTTCATTGCTGATGAATTTCCTAGAAAGTAATGGCTAATTTTAATTACGCGTTGTCAGTTTTCTTAGGTTGAAGACAGCGTAATATTTCTGAAGCCATTGTTAAGTTTCATTAATGCCAGCAACTTTCTAAAACATTATTTTGTATATGTGTATATTTTGTATGCATAAATAACATTTATTTTTTCACTTATTAGGAATTATCCAAAATGTTTAATCCCATAAAACTTGAAAAATGTATATCAACCTTACTTATTAGAAACTCGCGAATTTTTGCCCGGGGACTTACTTTTTCTTTTTGCAGGGATAAAATTTTATATGCAAAGTTTAAGCAAAATTGGTCATCAATGAAAGTTCGTGGGTCTAGAGGTACAGGCTTTCTATAAATGAATATAGGGTCAAACCAAGTAATGGAAACGTGCCGCCTCTTACTTTGTATGGATTTTATTAAATGTCCTAGGACTCACGACAAATACTAGACGCATCTGTAACTAACTGGTTACTTAAATGGTTCATATCTTATTAAAAAAATAAAAATGATTCATTACAGTAAAAACAAACAAATTTATTGCGGTTAAAAATCACAGTAACTGTTGAAAATCTTCACCATTTTGCGATATTGCGTCTTTTGGTCAAAGAAACCATTCCTAGTTTTATAGCCGAAAGTCTGATCTCCACGGAATGTTCGCAGTGTTAAGCGTGAGTAAATGATTGTTGCTTCCTAAGTACATTAAGACACATTTATCCAGATTTAATGGGATTAGCCAATTTTGACACCATTCTTTCACAGAGTGCAGATCCAATTGCAGGGAGCTGTGATCAGTTAGCGGATTGGCATAGATTTTGCAATTAACAGCATAGAATACGTGATCCGATTTAATCTACAAGGTAAGATCAGCAATATAAGACAAAAATAACGCAGGGCTTAAAACTGATCCTTGCGGAACTCCTGAGTACACGAAATGCTCAGTAGAAACGCAAGAACCAATGCGTACGGAAAAAGTTCTAGCGGTTAAAAACGCAATGATCCATTCTAATAAACGGCCTCGGATTCCAATATATTCTAATTTATAAAATAATTTATTCTGCGGGACGCGATCGAAAGCTTTAGCAAAGTCCAAGTAGACAATGTCAACAAAACTGCCTTCATCAAGAGATGCGGATCACTGATTAACACACTGAAGAAGACAGGTCACTGTTGATCTGTGAGATAAAAATCCATGTTAGGTGGAAGGGATAACGTTATTTTCCAGTAAAAAATTTACCAAATATTTGACAATAATTCTTTCCATAATTTTGCCACACACAAAGGTCAAGCTTATGGGACGATAATTGGCTGCTTCTGTTTTGTCGCCTTTCTTAAACATTGCTGTGGCATGAGCCTTTTTCCAAAGAGAGGGAAGACGCGTAGTAGTTAAAGAAAGATGAAAAATGTGCGAGAGAGGCTTACTTAGTGTTCTAGCACAGCTACGTAATATGAAAGAAGACAAGTTATCAGGTCCAGGAGAAGAAGCAGAATCAAGACGGCATAACTCTTCATAAACAATGTCTTCGGGAAATTCAATAGTATCTTATCAAAGAAGTTTGCAGATTCTGCTCAAGTCGTCTCAAATCGTCAACAACTTCCTTAGATAATGAAGGTCTTCCAAGAGATTTCCTTTTGTCGACACTGCCAGTGCGAACAAATCTTGTGATTACATCTCTGATGTGAGTCTCTAACCATGTTTCATGAATGATCAAATCAGGGTATTTGGCCAGATATTCTTGCATACAAGCGGTTACAGAATACACTAACTCTCCGTTTACGAATGTCCCATTGCGATAATAAAACATAACAATGAAAGTGTCTTTCAACAGAATAAATCATCTTCACGGTCTTCGCTTCCTAGCACAAAAACAGAATTTTCGTACCAAGCATCAAGAGTTTTGAAAACGACTTACGAAACGTTAAAACAATATAAACGATGACTTTAAATGACGGGTTACAAATGACACTAATGACAAGTGAGATCTAACATAATGAGACATAATTTCAGAGAAGCGGGATTTTTGAAATCCATGGTCAACTTCGTCCTGAGAATCATTTATAAAAACCCTGTATTTATGGTAATAAATATTTCATGAGATACTCAATTTTAGAAGGACACAGTAATGAATTGTTACATTTTTCACTAAAGTGTCTTTATCTGATGAGTCTTATTGCTTTACCAAGGTAAAATATGGTGTTTTATCATCTGAAATTTGTTATTAGTCCCCTAATTTAGAATTTTAGCTAGGAGTGAGTTAAGTAATCAAAGAGAAAATAATTTTAGCAATGTTCTAGTTATATTGAAACCAAATTTGGTTTTGATTGTATGTGTTGGACAAAATTTTTTGTTTTAAATCCTTCGTGGTATAATTACTGAGGGAGAGGTAACCAGTGCTGGCGACAATATTGCGATCGATTTGTATGTTTAGAAGTGTACGAGTACATCTAAAAGTAATGTTTTCACGTCATAGTCAAAATTCATTTTTGAAAAGCACTTTGCCACACTTAAAAATTGCTAAAACCAAACTGATATACTTTTGAATTGAAATTCACCCACACAAGTCACATGACGATATATTTTTCGCAGTTTCAGTTCTTGAAGTAGTTTTTTTTATTAAGATAACTATATTTATTTCAGTTACAACAGTTTAGATCAGCAAAACACGAATCCAGCTCTATTTCTGAAACCAATGTTTTTTTTTTAATTTAAGTGAGCTTTCAAGCCGTGGCACAACCGATTTTGGGAGGTTAACCATTTTAGATTTGCAGTAGGCTATCTAGAGGTTTTGTGGCTCTAGACTTTTTTTCCATTTATTGTAGTTCTGAAGTACCAAAATAAAATCTAATCGTTCTTTTTGACGTGTAACTATAACAAAATATCTTTTAATTGTTTATATTATTTAAAAGAAAACTTTTTATTTCCCGAGCGTAAGCTAAGGACTTCTGTAGTAGGGTCCAGCTACTTTCTGGTTTTCCGATGTTTCATAATTCCTGGAATACGAAAAAGTAGGTATTGGGTTTCAGTTTTTCTGTGTCGATTTTTATTAGGCAAATAATCCCCGAAACTACTGAACCGATTGTTGTCAAATTTTACAGGTATTTGTATTTGTCTACTCAACCTCACCAACAATTTTATGGCGTCTCTTAATTTTTTTTTTTTAATAAACTGCATTTAAATTTTATAAAATAGCATACCCTTATACTTGTCGTTTACAAATCTGACTTGATTTTTTACAGTTTTTATACTAGACATCCAGATTTTCGTAAAAAAATCTAAATTGCAATATCACATGTTATCTTTATGAACTCTGTGGCTGCGCTGTGAAAATGTTGAATTACCACTGGCGCGAAGGTCACTAGTTTGATTGACCCATGGGTCACAATTTTTTTTTTTCATTTGACTGGTATCATCTATATTTTTTATTTTAATACTGCATGTGTACCGCATGTGTCCTTGCTGAAATAATGATCGGAACGTTTTGCAATGGGAAAATTCATTAGAAACAAGCACAGCCTTGCGCTTTATCAATGCATTCATAGTATTAGAGCAATTGTTTGATCCTCCACCCGATTTCCCCTCACTTCATCAGATGAAATATAATGAAGTTAGGAAAGTGTGTTTTCGTAATATATTGCGTTCGAATCAAAGGCATTAGCGGAGCATGGGTGATGAAAGTAGCTATGTAAGATACACTGCTGTATTCAGAAAAACAAGCTCTACAATAATCGCTAAAAAAATACAAACAATCATATTTTTACTTAGTAGGCGTAATTTATTGTTTTTAATGTATAGAGGTTATTACAAACAAAATTTTGCAAAATAAAATTTTATAATTTTAATGGAAAATAGAAAAACAACTTATGTCAAATGTTAAAAATGGAAGGAAGAGTCCAAGAGAAGAAGAAAGAAAAGTAGTACTTCATCAAACAAATTAGAGAAAGACCCATGAATGACAATAATGTGAAATTACAAATAACAGTGATGATCGCTAGAAAAAGAGGAAATAAGTGTAGATTCTCCTCATGTACTTATTGAATTTCAAATTTATGCAAGATTGGAATGATAAATAATATAGTAAAATTCTATTGTTGCAAGTCCCAGTGGAATATTTTGGGATGTTAAAAATAGAAGAAATATCTGTTCCCGTAAAAAGGCAGGAAATACACGCACTGGCCAAAGAAGGCGACCGGAAAGAGATTAATCATATCTTGCACACATAAGATGACCGGAAGAAAGACGTTTTTTCTCATGATTCAAGCTAAAAAGATGATAGTGTTTTAATCTTTATCTAAAAATAATCTTAGCTGTTTAGCGAACAGTAAACATTGAAATATCTTTGGGAGAGTTTCTTCAGTATCAATATATTTGATGTCAGTTTTATTCTTTTTACGATAGGTGTGTATGAAAAGTATGTACCTACCGTTAGTTAACCTACACCCTTTTGTTGTGTGAATTTGCAAAAATATTTCTTGAAACAATAAGAGAATAAATGTATGGTGAAATAATGTTACCGAAATTTATGCTAGATCTTGAAAACTCTCTTTTATTCCAAACATCTCTGCACTCGGAGAAAATTGATTGTGGTATGATGGTCAGGAAAAAGTATATAGATAATTCTATCAGAATAAAAAAAATCTTGGGCGCATCTTCAATGACACTTTAGAAGACATTGATTATTAAAAAGGGAAAAAAAGTTTTAGGCTTGTTTGTTAATTTTTATGACCCTTTGTGAACGGTTCAAATAAAGCATCTACATCAACAATAAAATTTAGATTTCCTGTTCGCTTTCTTTTCGTAGAACATTTTTTTCTTTCGAGTTTCTTTTTTTTCGTTGCTTTGGTTTTAAACATTTTATTGTTGGATTTTTTAAATGAATTAATGTTTTTCAACCGTATTTCATTCACTTAGAAATTATATCGCCCGGAAAAATGTCAATTGAGTTTTTTTTTATAGATTTAAACGTTGTGAGAAATCTATATTTTTGTGGTAATATTTCTAATGCGTTTGTAAAAAACTGTGTATTTTTAGAATAGAATTGTCCTTTAACTAACATCTCAATTTGTATTTTGAAATAAAAGTTTTGCAACGTTTTGTTAGATTGGTTTACTAAGCATTTTAACTAATTTATATTATCTTCATTTTAAAAATAATGAAAAAGTCATTTGAATCCACGTTATTTTGAAGGTCAAAACTGCAGCCGAATTCGACCATATTCAGTTGTCACATAACTAAAATTCAAATCAGTCAAAAAATAAAAGTCGCCAGATTATACCACACAACGAACTTTCATCTTCAGTGTGATATTTACTATAACAATTTAACCCGCCTCACATTTGCAATTTTGGGACCGATTCCCAAACGGTGTTTGTAGGTCGTCTTCCTGTGCACTAAGAGTAAATATTATCTAACAATGATAGTGAAAGTACGACACTGAGTAGACAACAATTATGCTTTCTCCGTTTGCCGGTATATCTGTAAATTGCGTGCAGGAAAAAGACAGCACCAAAGTACATCCAAGACGGAACTTGGTACACATTGAAAATCCGCGGAAATTATGTAACCGTTACATAACCGCAAAACGAGTCCGTGACATACCTCAAAGCAAAACCAAAAGATCTTTGTGAAGCAAGTTACGTTTTGATCATTTTACTGATTGAAATTTAAGGAACTGTGATGGTTAATGACGACTTATTATATCATAGAAGGAATATGCTACACGTAAATGTTACATCATCAATTATGAATACGCAATAAGTAACAATATTATTTATTGGAGGCGTTTGAAATAATGAGAAGGTATCAGAAAAATTACAAAATCTCGTGCAAACAGGAAGTATCTGCATGTTTAGTTAGAAATGGCTGTTTGAATTTCGAAATTCGTACTTAGAGTTTACATTAAGTAACGAGAATTGCACGCTACATTGACGTCACAGAGAAATGTTAAAGTTAGATTATTGTGTGACATTACACGTGATGATTATGAGAACTGGGCTTTCCTAACAAAAGCAGCAATTATTGAGTATTAGAAGAGTTTTTGTTCCTGGTTTTTGCTGTGAAATATTAATTTACTGTTACTGCAAGAGCTATTGCAAAAATTACAACAATTTTGAATGTTTGGAAATATCGACGTACTAACTTTACACGTTAAATTATAGTGTGCATTTTAAATGCGTTAGTTGTGTTTGAAACAATTTCTGAAAGACATTATAAAGAGAACTATTATGAGGAATTTCTTTGGTTTACTTTTAGTACTCCTATTTTTTAATTTTAAAAAATGTGGTTCCTTGAGATCAGCAAAAACGTGCCACAGTTCTTAAATTTTGACGATTATTTTCGAAATTAACTGAAGCAATAAATCATGATTACAATTTTTCTGCTCTATGTAATCAATTTTGAAATAATGGATTTTAGTAAAACAGCCTTAACTGATAAAAGTATATCAGTGAATTTTTGAGTAACTGTTGCTTAAGTATCTTGCGCTTGACCTCACATGTTGTACTTCAGACGGATGGAATTCAGTAAGATCAATATTTAATTATTTTATGGGCTGTTATATCATGTAATGAATACACAGCCGTAAACCGAATGTCAGAGATTGTTATAATTTATTTTCTATTACAAATCAAATATATTTACTTATTTATTTGTGAAATTACAAGGTTTTCAGATTTTATTTTGCAAACCAATGTCTATCTTATAACTGAAGAAATTTATACTTCCGCTCGAAGTACATATTTGTGAATATACATAAGATGGTATTACATTTACGTTTTTTATGTATGTGTATTTTTTGAACAATCAAGCAAAACCATGTGTTATAGTAAATTTAGACTTTTTTGGTATCTAAACATGTAGTAGATAATGATATCTGGGATGCAGAATTGTTATAAAATGGAAGTCGGTAAAAAATGGATAGTATCGAAGAAACTGAAGCTATTTTCACTTTATTACCTGGAAAAGAACATTTGAAACACCCTGTATTAAGAAAAAATATAGTCACAATTTAAAATATTATTCTGTAACATTTGAAATTTATGCACATGAGATTTTGGATATTAAATAAACAAATCCCTAAATTTGAAAGTTTAAAATTTAAACATTTAATTTTCAACGTCATAGAATTTTGTTCACTATAACATTGTTTTCCAGTCGGTTTCAGATCTTTAATAAATGCATGTAGTTTCAATAAATACTGTCCACAAAACTGAAAGTAAATACGCAGAATTATGACTAATGAATGTTAGTTACAGTTATCGGATATAATACAATAATTAAATCAACTCTCAACTGTACAAATTTTTCATTTTATTACGTCTTTTTAGATTTATTTGGTACAACGAATTACATAAAATTTAAATCTTTAATGTAAATAAGTATTTATAATTATTAATTACGCATAACACTAATGCAATTGTTAACATAATTTCTAATAACTTTATTACCGGTTTACCTTAGCAGTCACTTTTTCACGATTAAGGTAAAGCCTTCATAAAAAATTACTTACGTGTGGTAAAAGTCGTATTTTTCTCGTCAGCAGACACCACTTTTAATAAAACTACTAAAATATAAACTACAATCATCTTCATTTTTATCACAGAATAGAGTTACTTATTACACTTGAGACAGTTTAACGATTTATAACGTTATTGCTTGTTGAACATTATTTTGCATTTAGTTTCATGGAGAAAGCACGTGTACCTTTTAGTTTTATACGGGGGTTTAGTTTTGGTAGGGGTCTATATGAGCGGTAGCAGGACCTTTGCCGGCACATTATTTTGGTAGGGATACCCACAAAGAGTACCACCCATATGTTGCATGGTATTATGAACAATTTGTATGCATTGTGTAATGAGGATGTCAGAAAGAGTTTGTTGATGAAATCTCGCTAAGGTCATAATTGACTATTATCAAAGAGTTTATTGGTCTGGTCGAACTAATATTTAAAGGAAGTTTAATTGCTTTGTTTTTAGATTACATCGATGTTGTTGCGTGTTTTCAATTTATATATTTTGAAGACGTAAACAGTTACAATTTTGAAGTTTCTGCAAAAATTAATGTTAAAAGTCTTGCAGCACGTGCATTTTTATCAATTTCAAATTTCAAGGTTTCAGATGACCAATGTTTTGTTATTGTGACTGTTTATTTTTGTTATACGAGTGTGTTATTATTTGGTGATAAACTATTAAATGAATTTTACGAAAACATCGAACGACGACAGTTTTGTGGCTTTTGAAATAAAGATTTTTTACTTAAAAAATAAAGAAGTACACGAGGCTTATGTTTGCTTACGTCTGCTTCAACCGGAGTGAAGGTTGTTAGTTGATGTTAGAAGACGCCGGCGCCTACTTATATTCTTGTTTATAAAACAGTCCAAATGTTGATAAAATTTTGTTAACAATTTTATCTCAGAAATTCTCTTAATATGTAAAAAATGTGATCGTTAAGCCACAAAAGGCTAATGAATTAAGTGTACTTTTAAATAAAATGGACGTGACAATTACTTCAGAGACAATAAGAAAAAGTAGTTGTAGTTAGTTCGAGGCCATACAACGCCAATTATTAATAACAAAACCTTGCAGATTTATTAATTATTGTGCTATTGCCTCACTAAACCTAAACTGTGTTATGCATACTCTGTACTCCCATACTTAAAGTTTTGGCAGTAAGGGAACATAATACACTGCCAGACAAAAAACTTGGACCCTTGAATTTTTTGTTTACTTACATATCCTCGAACTTTTGAAAAAAATATTCCAAAAAGCAAATAATTAATGTATTTATTTTTTTTATTGTTTAAATTTTATTCTATTATGTTCCCCAACAGGCCAGAGTTACAGGGGAACAGGGCATACACAACACCCAGAGACAGGACGGGATCGAGCCCATGAGCCAAGGTGTAGCGAGCAAGCACGAAGTTAACAAACCCACCAGGGTCCTCAAACAGAAAAAAATTTAAAAAAATTGGTCTAAAGAGTTTAGACAGTACTTCCCTCGCTGTCGGAAACTTGACAACTGCATGCCTGTTGTGTTTTTTTCTCATTACATTTTTGTAGTGGGAATTTAAAAACAAATTGCGATGACGTCATCAACATTTTTGCAAGGACACGTATATCAGTTGGGATAGATGTAGTGTAATACTAAGAATAAAATTATTGTATTCCCAAATTTTCGGGAAAATGAATTGGGTCGTTTTGAATATTGATTTGTAATAATCAATAAAATAACGAAACAATCTACTCATGTATACGGCGCCGGCGTGTACTAGGAGAGGCAAATGAAAATCGTTTATGTATAAGCATTCTTAATTTAAGACGACAAGCGTAACATAGCATACCTGAGAGTCAAACAAAGAAACTGTAAACAAAACCGATCGTCGTCTAGAAATTTTTATTGCTTCGACTTCCGCTTATTATATAAAACATTGGGTTTTATTTTAATTTTTGACGGCGGAATTCACAATTGGTTGATTCTAAACATGTCTATACCACATTCGCGGAACCTAGTCAGCGCACAAAACAAATGCACGTCTGTAATGTTATAGTAAATATAAATAAGCGTGCTACCCTATGTTTCAACCGAGTTTTTACTTTACAAAATTTTGTGTCTACCAAATTGGGTTGGTCTAATGTAATACTAATAATAAGTGTTGCCTTTAATTTAATCAATAAAATAAATTGACTTCATTAATTTTTTAGAGCCACATCTTAAGCAAATCTAAAAAATATGAATGGAATGATAAATCACAAGTACAAACTCATCATATTTTTTGCATTTTACATAGGATTTATTCAGTAAAATTTAGGGGTAACGTCATCAATTTTTTTAGGGGGGGATGAGCAAATAAATTTTGATAACAAATTTACCATGCTTATGATAACTTTAAAACATCTCCAAGATTTCACAGCATGCGGTTCTGTAATTCCTGATTAAATCAATAAAATAAATTGACGCATTCATTAATTTTTTTGAGTCACCCTGTATATGTAAATCCAAGAAATATGATTGGAATGATAAATCACAAGTACAGACTCATCATATTTTGTACATTTTAGATAGGATTTATTCAGCAAAATTTTGGAGTGACGTCATCAATTTTTTAGAGGGGAAGAGCAAATACATTTTGATAAAAAATTTACCATGCTTATGCTAACTTTAAAACATCTCCAAGATTTCAAAGCATTCGGTTCTGTAATTCCTGATTAAATCAATAAAATAAATTGACGTATTCATTAATTTTTTTCAGTCACCCTGTATATGCAAATCAAAAAAATTTGAATGGAATGATAAATCACAAGAATAGACTCACCATATTTTGTACATTTTAGATAGGGTTTATTCAGCAAAATGTTGTGGAGACGTCATAAATTTTTTAGGGGGGACGACCAAATACATTTTGATCAAAAATTTACCATGCTTATGATAATTTTAAAACATCTTCAAGATTTCAAAGCATTCGGTTTTGTAGTTCCTGAGTAAATCAGTAAAATAAATTTTGCGCATTCAGGGGATAACCAAATATATTTTGACTAAAGATTTATGATACTCTTTAGAGCCTTAAAACATCTGCAACATTTCAAAACATTCGGGTTAGCAGATTCAAAATTAAATTGCAAAATGTTGTTTTATAATTTTGATTTTTTTTCCAAAAATCTGGACGTTTCGGGTAAAAACTCAATTCGGACTCATAAACTACATGTGTAGGCATATGTTATTTTATACAATTTAAGACCCATTTACTATGTACACTTTTGAAGTGACGTCATCGCATTTGTGGTGGGGATGATTAGACAAATTTTGGTTAGCGTTTTACCATCTACATGATATTCCTAATATAAGTACAAAATTTCACAACAATCGGTCCAGTACTTTCGGAGATTATCTGTCTAATAAAAATCCGGGACGGCAGACGGACAGACGGACAGACGGACAGATGGGCAGACGAACAGACAGACGGAAATAGGAGACCTATTTCTTCGTCTTCTAGGGGTCATGAAAGATCGAGAAAACGTAAAAGTACAGAGTCGGCCGACGGACTCGATTACAATACTTACTTTGCTTACGCTCGGGAAGTAAAAGGTATAACATTGGGTCTGGGTTTTTTTGTCGGGCAGTATGCTTAAACACCTATTTTTTTACTTTTATCTAACACAGGACCAGACTAGATATATATATTAGGACCACTGGAAACAAAAACACATCGAACTATCCAGAATCAATAAATGAATCACTTTTATTTCTATAGTGGAATTTTTTTGATAATAAGTAATATAAGTTGAAAAATCCATAAAAAAATGTATCTTGATATTTAATTTTTACTTCCCGAGCGTAAGCAAAGGAAGTATTGTAATCGAGTCCGTCGGCCGACTCTCTACTTTTACGTTTTCTCGATCTTTCATGACCCCTAGAAGACGAAGAAATAGGTCTCCCATTTCCGTCTGTCTGTCCGTCTGTCCGTCTGTCCGTCTGTCCGTCTGTCCGTCTGTCCGTCTGTCCGTCTGTTGTCACGGATTTTTATTAGACAGATAATCTCCGAAAGTACTCGACCGATTGTTGTGAAATTTTGTACTTATATTAAGAATATCATGTAGATGGAAAAACGCTAACCAAAATTTGTCGAATCATCCCCACCACTAAAGCGATGACGTCACTTCAAAATTGTACATAGTAAATGGGTTTTCAATTGTATAAAATAACATAGTCCTACACATGTAGTTTACAACTCTGAATCGACTTTTCACCCGAAACGTCCAGATTTTTGGAAAAAAAATCAAAATTATAAAACAACATTTTGAAATTTAATTTTTAATCTGCTAACCAGAATGCTTTGAAATGTTGCAGATGTTTTAAGGCTATAAAGAGCATCATAAATCTTTAGTCAAAAAATATTTGCTTATCCCCTCCAAAAACTTGATGACGTCAGCTCAAAAGTTTGTGGAATAAATCATATCTAAAATGTACAAAATATGATGAGTCTGTACTTGTGAACTATCACTCCATTAATATTTTTTGGATTTGCATATACAGGGTGACTCAAAAAAAATTAATGAATGCGTAAATATATTTTATTGATTTAATCAGGAACTACAAAACCGAATGCTCTGAAATCTTGCAGATGTTTTAAGGTCATAAAGAGCATAATAAATGTTTAGTCAAAATATATTTGCTTATCCCCTCCAAAAACTTGATGACGTCAGCTCGAAAGTTTGCCGAATAAATCATATCTAAAATGTACAAAATATGATGAGCCTGTACTTGTCATTTATCACTCCATTCATATTTTTTGGATTTGCATATACAGAGTGACTCAAAAAAATTAATGAATGCGTAAATTTATTTTATTGATTTAATCAGGAACTACAAAACCGAATGCTTTGAAATCTTGCAGATGTTTTAAGGTTATAAAGAGCATAATAAATTTTTAGTCAAAATATATTTGGTTATCTTCTACAAAAAACTGATGACGTCAGCTCAAAAGTTTTCCGAATAAATCGTATCTAAAATGTACAAAATATGATGAGTCTGTACTTGTGATTTATCATTCCATTCATATTTTTGGATTTGCATATGCAGGGTGACTCAAAAAAATTAATGAAGGCGTGAATTTATTTTATCGATTTAATCAGGAATTAGAAAACCGAATGCTTTGAAATCTTGGGAATATTTTAAAGTTATTATAAGCATGGTAAACTTTTGTTCAAAATGTATTTGT